TTTAACTCCCATGAGTGACCAAGACAGAATTTCTCCTTACAATATCAATACAAAGTCAACCAGATAAGTGATAAGAATAATGAAAAATATTAATTCAGGGATAATACATTGATCCAATACTAACTTCTCTGAACTAACATTATATAATTGTATGGTTGACATTCAGGAGAATTACAAATTTGATCTGGGAGTTAAAGGGTTAATATTCTAGCATGAGAAAAGAGAACCATTTTCACACATAAATGACATTTAAAATGTTGCATATTGCTGTCCAACTTTTCTTCCAAAAAACCAATTCAATCAACAAAACCTACAAGCAACATGAAGGTTATTCACCAATTGACTGTAGTTATGAAAATTTAAAAATTATTATACTATAAACAGATATGTGTGCTGGCATACTCACCCCAGTTTTGAAGCCTCCTTCCCGACAGCTTGGTCCATTTTGGCTTAGGAGCACCATTTACCTAATCAAAAAAAAGATAAAATGCACAACTTACTTGGCTTAATTTTAAGGTGTTCATTCGCTTATTTATCTATTCGCTTAATTTTTTGGGTTTTCCCCCCCCTTAGAAAATAAAATCCGGTCGAAAGGTCCAATGCTGTATTAAGCTAATCGATTAAAGAATGAATCAAATTTTTCAGCACAAAAAAGGCAGAAAAAAACGAAAATAGTCACCGTTTTTAGGGGTTATCACCTCGCCAAAATAAAAATCTGAACATCAGTCATCTATTTAGCGGGTGGAAAAAGTTGAAAATTTTCATTCTAACCTGATCCAAGAGAAACTTCTCCTCCTCTTCTGAAATGAAATTCGGAATGTAGAATGCTCTTGGTGGGGCCTAAAATCATTTTCAAGTAACCGAAATTCAAAAATGAAATATCTGATAATAATTAGTGTGAATCTAGCATAGTTTTCTACCTTTTTTACAACGTAGTTTTCTAACTCAAAACAATCAGCTGCGTCCGCCATTTTAAATGCTTCATACCCAGCCTTTCACGGCATTTTTGAACGAGCGAGTGAGGATCGCAAGCGATTTTCTTTTTTTTCGACCAACACGGCAAATTTTGAAGAAAAGGTTATGGATAATTACGAATAGGACTCCAAACGTGCTAGTAGAAAACTTAAATGGAATGCGACAAGTGCTTTACTCGCGAAAAAGATTTATTCCATGTGCGACAGCCGGGAGTCGAACCCGGGTCAACGGCTTGGGAAGCCGCCATGATAACCGTTACACCACTGTCGCCCACGCGCCTAAATCTGGTAAAGTTTGGCTATTTAATTCTTCATTATCTTACAGTTGTATAATTTCTAATTTTTGGCCCCAGCTCAGGACTTGATTTTACACACTGAGGGCTAAAATACTTGAACAAGAGATTTTGCTTTCGGCGAGTATTCGCGAATTCACAAATTAAGTAATCCCCTAAACTCATTAACTAGGAAAACTGAATACCTCATTTTGTCACATCTCGACAAGGGGCTTAACATTAAGGTGGACATAAATATTTTGTCTTTGATGAGAGCCAATGAGCGTCTACCTCTGTGCTATTTTCGTTAAATTGTGTTAAAACAGGACAACAAAGTTATGAATACCATTACCATTATCGAAATTGAACAAGCGGAATTAGTGCGCCCCAGCTGAGCAATTTACAGTTACAAATTAAAATTGTGAACGAGAACACGATTCCAAATGTACATACAAAGATTTTAATTCTACCGTGAGAGCAGATGAGTGTCAAAAATTCAAGGTGAGTTAAACATTCTTACATATACGTATCTTCGAAGTAAGAGCTTTGTCAACATGAAATCTTTATTTGAACGTACATTGGTCTACGATCCATGCAGTTCCACAGCATCGAAGCCATTGATAGCTTTTGGCCGAGTCTGTCAGCTCCAATTTAGCCTTTTTGATTTATTGTTTGGGTAGTTACCGCCTTTTATCTAGTCACTGAGTATATAAGCAGACTATTTTCGATCTTTTCAGCACAAAAAAATCAGAGTCACCGAGATAGCTAAGTTCGTTAACTGATCGATCTCACTCCAAAAATGGGAGCCATATTTTGTGAATTTTCCTCAATCTGGTGCTGAAATTTTGTAACCCAACTTGACACAAACTACCTCACTTTTACCACAGTTGACGATGTTATCACTTCCCCCATCAGACTGTATCTTTCAAAGACAACCTTTAAAAGCATCTTTGGAGAAATTAAACCCTGATGTAACGTGTCTGTCGAGTAATTTGAACATTAGATGGTAAATTTTCAGCTCGATCGTGCAAGGGTCGCATCCGGTAGTTAATTAAAGCTGGAGTATAGAATGGTTTATAGAGAAAATATTGTTATGAAGGTTTTCAATTAACACGCCAGACTTTGACCTCAATCAATTTCCGGGAAAAATGCAGTTCTATGCGTGCTGAAATCTACGTTTGAAAATCCCTTTAGGTACACGTGAGTGATTGAAAATACCGACAAAATTGAGGGCCCTAATCTTTATTAAATTTTTCATGTCATCTGCGTTAAGAAGAAGAACAAAACTAGAAAAGGCAACCCAATGGAATTAAAACAACAACAACAACAACAAAAACAAAACTAAGACAACAAAAAAATTTAAAGAAGGTTTCAGCTTTAGGTCTCCGTGTTGCTTTCTGCACAGAAGCTGTTGCCATTAAAGAAATGTCTTTCTCCTCTCGAGCGAATGTACGACTTTTCTGTCAGATTCGATGGCTTGATCTCTGAAATTCGGCTTTACAACTGACTTTTTTGAAAGACTTTTTAGAAAGCCGTATGAATGTTAAGCACTTGACTTGTGCTAAGATGCATTCAATGAGAACAACAAAACGTATAAACTTGTATATTGGATAGAAATTAATAACAAGGACCATAATGAAAATATTAATAATTAAGATGATGATGATATAAAATAATACTTCCATGTTAATTACTAGTAACATACCTCACAAGAGAATACTTTAAGTGTTAAATTTAAAAAGTGACTACATAGCGAGACAGACAATAAATCTAATTGTTAATTTTTTTTAACAATATCGTGATAGTTCGACTATTTCGTTTGACCGCAGTTTCAGTTTTTGACCGCAGTTTCAGTTTTTGACCGCAGTTTCATAAAAAGCATATTATTTAGCGAAGACAAACAAGAGGAGCAGGTCATATTGTCTTGGCCTTTATTAGGTTAATTCATTATTTTCAGCAACTCAGTTCAATTCTCTCTTTTATTTTATTTTATTTTTTTTCTAATTCTTTGTTGAGCGTGAGTGCTCCAGGCGAAATAAGATCTGGTGCTCAAATGTTATGATGGTAAAGTCGAGTAACACTGTTTGTTCTAAAAGCAAATATTTTCAATCGATTCAATGTGTTTTGTTCCCAACCCAGAAAACATCTGCTATCGACTATCTATTTAGTTAATAATACTCCGACTTGCCTGCGGCAAATCGACAAACATGAACGCAGGGAAAATGGAAAGACGCCATAAAATCAGAAACAGGGAAGCAAACTGGGCGCAAGATGGGCAAGGAAAAATTACAAAACAGGAACTACCAGTTTTGTTTTTACCTCCTGTTGTCGGCGATGGATCCTCGCGCGTCAAGCACGAGGACAATTCTTCGATTATGGTTACAATGAAGAAGCTGAACAGCCGGCCAGAGAATTATAAACGTGTTCACCAAAAGTTTTCTACGACGGCTTTACACCACCAGGATAAGGGATTGTTCTACAACTGTAAACAGGACAAAAAGCGATCGAGTTGTAACAAGAAAATAACCTTTACGGCGAAAAATACTTTAAAAAGGCCGTTTTTATTGCCTACATTACCCACAGTAGCGTTTCAAGGGCAGATTCGGAAGAAAGCTACGGCATCTCAAGGGAATCCTGCGAAACTCAAAGGTTACAAACTGCTTCCCAAATATCTGCCGCAGATCGACACAAGGACGAAGCAATTAAAAAGCAACGAGACAACTTCTAACGGCCTCATAAACGCTTCTAACGCGAAAACGACTGATAAAAGTTTTCCCCCCTTAGCGAGGAAGGCAATGAAACCTTTGCGGACTGCCATATCTTCTTCGGCAACTTTGCGAGGCCTGATTTCTCTGGATTTAGAGGAACAATTCGTTTTCCGATTTCGTCTTTCAAATTATGACGCTAAAGACATTAATATAACTTCTCTCAATAAGCCCATGTAAAGGATGTTGCGCCAGCTGCAGTAATAGCTCTATTCCAGTATATGATATATCCGGTGAAAATAAAAGTAAGAAAAAAAGATGATGTTTGGGAAGAGTTCGATTTTATTCATATTTACCACCCAGAGAGAATAACTTTTACTCGTTAATACCGAAAAAACAACAGAAATAATTTTTTGGTGTCGGTGTGTGTTTGCGAATATGTGCCTAGTTTTTTTCTTTTTTTCCGACATTAAAGGAGTCGAATTAATCCCTCCAACATTTCGCTTATTAATCTACCTTTTGGAACTGATGTCTTCTTGTTTTCTCTGATTTTTTACGGTGAAGTTAAGAAAAAATGTTAGTTTTTACAGTGATGAAATAGCTGACGCTTTATCAAAACTGTTTAGCGATCCCAAAACAGATTGAAGATGTCCACATGTGATCAATTCTTGGACTTTTTTTCTTAACGTCAAATAAGGATAAACTACCATACTTTTTTGGTCAAGCTCACCATTGCCAACAGACTGAGTTCTTTTTAACCAGTCGGTGTTGAGCATCGGAGCAGGAAATCCGAGGGTTTGTAGCTCGATTCATCCTTAAGAGGGTGTCGGATATTTCCGCTTTTCCAAGCTCGTAGTTGCTTGTGACAATACGGATAGTGTACCAATTCAGTTATGAGCGGTGTTGCTCGAAAACTTAGTTAAAATTTAAAGAGGGTCATTCTACAAAAATGCCTCCTCCTTCTCTTATCCCTGCCAATCTAAATGGCTTAATTAGCGATCGACACACGCACACCCCGCGAGAAGTCGCGCGAGTAGAAGTCTCCCTCGAGTGTTGTTGTTTAGTATCGTCACGTGGCTCACTCTCTCCCCCACGACAAGGAAGGAGACCACGCGAGTAACGGAGCTTCACGCATAAACTCGCCCCTTGACGACGAAGTTGACAACCCCCGACTTGGCAACGAATCATCACCATAGAAAGAAAAGCAAAATATAGATAGATAAAACCTCCATTGCGTGGCTCTCTGAAAAATTTATCATTGATTTTTATTCACATTGTCTCAGTAAGAAGGGACAGGACGTTTCTTTTCTGGTTTTGAAAATCCCGTTGGAAAATTTCAAACTTGAAGCAAACAGAACACGTACACGTTTCACACACGCGTGCTCACTGCCTTGTCAAACGAAAATCAATTAACTCACCTTTAAGAAATTTAATTGATTTTGATTTAATTTTAGATTAATTTACACCATGCATCAACTTTTCCTTCCGACAAAAGGATTTGACAATATATCTTTTGTTGTGTTTGTACTAGCTTTTTGAGTGCCGGTGCAAATAGGATGTGTTAGCAAAAATTTACATGTTGCAAACAATCAGCGCAAAGTGAACACTACCGGCACCTGCTGAAAATTTGCTTGAATTAAGTAAAATGGCCACCCAAAGACGTTCGTAAGGAAGTAACAATAAAATATAGCGCTGTATCCATTTTTCCCTTCTTTTGGTTTTTTTTATGTATATTTAGTTTGGTACAAGTTGAGTCCCGTTATCTGGAAGGAGAAGACATTGGAGTCGTTGGCGTAGAGTTTTTCCCTTGTACATCCCAACCTGCATTAGGTAGATAGACGTGAATTGAAAGCTTTCGTCCGCTTTCATCTTCTTTTAGTTGCTCTTTTTCCTCTGGGCTCAGACTTCGTCCTTTATGTACAACATGTCGAGCCCAAGGTATTGGTAACATTGGTGTTCTTCGATCCGGTACATTTGTCCGCGGGTTGGTTCTGAACCGCGCTCGAAACTTCTGCAAAAGTTGTAAACCTTCCTCGTCCGAATTACAAAATATCGAATCTCTTGACTTAAGTTCAATGCGCCACTCCCTTTCCAACAGGTTGAGCCCTTCGGGATTGATTTGAAAGCGTACGGGCTTTGATTTTCCACCGAAAAGCAAAAATATTTCTTCTTGTTCACTGCGTGTTTGCGCGGTATTCGAATTGTTTGACGCGAGGACTCTTTGGAAATAATTTTTATTAAGACTGGGTTCACGACCGTTCATGGAAATCGTTGCAAGATCTTCGTATTGCCCTACCTCGTTTCTTCGGCATTTCATCCTCTTTAGACATGAATAAAGCTTATTCAAAGAGACAGAGTGTGAAGTTGTTTGGTTGATTCCGTTGCTAACCAGTTGTTCGGACTTAAAACTCTCAGCGGCTTTAGCTGTTTCATCTCCTGAGGAAGAAACACTACCTCGTTTCGGTAGATTTTGTTGAGATTCAGCCAAACTCATTCGATGTCCCGTACACTGCATTCCAGCCAAAGGATGCGGCTCAAAAGTTTCGAAACCAGAGCCAGTTAATCGATTTTGAATTGAACGGTGCAAATCATTTAAATGGCCTCTATTCATATTTGTCTTTTCAAATGCAACGGGCTTTTGTAGATATTCCTGTGTCCTAACACTCACATCTCCTGACTCCAGGGGAGGTTTTATGTTTTCTGGGTTACTGACCAAAGAAGGGTCATCAGATTTTCCAAATGAACGTCCCTGGATGGTACCGTCCAAACCAGTATTCAAATCATGGTATTCTGTAGTAGAATCTTCTTCACGACGCACCGATGGTTTCGCATAATTACGTAGATACGGAGCAACTTTAAGCTGACCTCTGGGAAATATGTCCTCACCTCTGAAAAAAGCAAAACTCATTGTGTGTACGGGATATTGTCTTTAAAGCTTTCTATTACCATGTCTTAACCAGCTTCATTGTAACCAAACAAGAAGCCTTGTGAGCCAGAAGCGTAATTTTCCACTGTGTTCAGTTATGATCGCGTACTTTTTTTGTAATTAAGCCATATGCAAACACTGTACTTAAACAATCAGTGCCCACAAAATTGTTTGTTTTAATCCCATATTTCCACATGGCGACGCAAAGAACAATTAACGTTGTGGCTACACTTGTCATCACAAAAGATTGAAATCAAATAAAGTGACTTATTTCATTTACATGACAATTTGCCAAGGATTTCAGTGACGGCTCTTGAATGGTTGCACGAAGAGCCAAAAATCTTTCAAACACTGAATGAACAGAATCAAGCTCAACTTGAAACAAAGACCTTGATATTAACCGAATCATATATCTCGAGGTTCTATCGTCAATTTTTAATTAACCCCTTCAATTGTCTATTGTCATAAAAAAATACTCTTAAAATGTCTATTGAAATTTTTGTTTTTCCAATCAAAAATAGTGGCACATAAAACGGTTATAAGAAAAATTGATCCAAAGAGGAAATGTCAGACAAACCTTTGAAGTGCCAGGAAGTCACGACAGAAACTAACCATAATATCATTATAATTGGTTCTAACCCGGAACATTCAAAAGAGTGGGCATGAATGCTCCGAGCACACGACACGGCGTGTCGCAAGTTACTCTTCTCGTCCTGTCGCAAGATCCTTAAAATGCAACCTTAAGCGACCAGTTAAATGGTGACGTCTTCGAACCATCCTCTCTGGCCGTTGGGTAGCTTGCGCAGTAAAGAACCTAAGTGAAAAGTAAGTAAAACTCATACCGGTGACTCCTCGCTCGCGTGTATCAGTCTAAGAAAGTAATTTGGTATTATCAACTGAGTCGATAACGCACATTGCTCACCGTAAAGAGTTTCAACGTTAACGTCTCGGGCATTATCCCTTCGTCAGAAGGACTAATCTTCGAAACGTCAGCTTTAAAACTCTTTACGGTGGCCAATTTACGTGATCAACGAGGTTGATAATTCCAAATTGCCTTGTTATACTCTCCCACTGACGCAGCACTAGTTTCCTTAGAGACTTACCCCCGTTGTGTATCTAGGTCACGCGCGCCCGTTCAAATCAAGCGCCTGATACACTGACTACACTGATTGGTCAAACGTGCCACCCAAGCACCGTTCCCCTGAATGGCGTAAAGTTTTTTCTTGACATTGTTTGACAGGTATAGAATAAGTGATCGGCAGTCAGCAGAATTTCTACTCTCTTCGTATTATTTAATAATTTGCATAACTTACAAACCAAGAATCTCCCGGTAATATCCTTGAGACAAATCCTTCTTCTTTTTTCATAATTTATTGCTTATCCGCATTATAACTTCTGCTTTTAATTTAAGTTTCTACCTACAGTAAAAGAATCTCTTTTCGATGCGGGTTTCATTGTCAACAATTTTATGTTCAAATGTAAATATGGCTTTCATGCACAACGAATAAATAAAGGAAATGCTTAACTACATTTAATCCTTCCTTTGTGCAGTCGACTCTTGGTAACCCGTACCCTTAATACACGTTAACTGAAAAATCACTGCTTTGCAGGTCACTTTCTTTACAACTTTGCCCTCAATGTCTCGAACCTCTAAGTTAGAGTGCGCTACAGTATTCGATTCAAGTCAGCTGTCTCGTTTTGTTAGCTTATTTTCCTTACGTTTTTAAACGTGTCTTTGTAATGAATCTGATTAAAAACACTTTTAATCGGTTTTAATACCGATCATGTTACGAAAACCTTGTCTTCTCTAATTTGGTAGACATTTCAATCACTTCTGCCCCTCTTTCTGTACCTTTCAAACGTGTCTCTGTAATGAAACTGATTAAAAACACTTTTCATCAGTTTTATACCGATCATGTGACGAAAACCTTGTCTTCCTCACTAATTTGGTAGGCATTTCAATCACGTCTGCCCCTCTTTCTGTACCTCGAACCTTTAATGATCCTCTTTAACGGTTCCCGTTACCAAGACTCAACTGCACTAAAACATTTCTTTTTTTTTTTTGTTCCCTTTCATTCGATTCCCTCGGGTTCGTTTTAGCCTGATCGGTCCGGTTCGGGGCCATAAAACCCCTCATAAGCAGAACATTCCTTTACTGTTACTGTTCCTCTTTCTGTTGTGACATCTGTGATAATCATGCTGTTTGCTAAAAATTCAAATCGCGAGTACCGCGGTATCACCGGGGTGTTTTTCATTTCCGTGGGGGCTGCTGGGGGCGGAACTTCGTGTCGCGATGACGAAGGGGGGCTGGTGGATACCGTGGGGACATCAGCGGTGCTCGGTTTGGGTTGATTGTCTCTCTCGATCACCGGAGGTTTTTCAGGTAGTGGAGTTTCGAGTACGTCTGTCTTTGAGCTGCTACTACAACCCGCGTTGCAAGGAGTGGTGTCTAATTCACTCACAACGGAGGTGGACGGTGCAATTTCTTTCAAGGGAGTTTCTTCGATATTCGAATTCGACTCAGTAGTTTTGTTTTCACTCGCTTTATCAGGAAATTTTTCTTCGGATTCCGTAATTTCGACCTCTGCAGTTTTTTCACCTACTTCGGTTACAGCGAGAGGGACTGTGGTTTCAACCTCAAGAGACGGAACAGCTTCGCCAGTACTTTCGTTTACCTTCGGTAAGTTTCGTTTTTTCCGACGCCGTCGTCGCTTCGCGGGCGGCGGATCAACCTCGCGAGACGATTCATCAATTTCGCTATCACTTTCATGATCATTGACGCTGGTGACGTTTTCAACATCCACAGAAGAACTGTCTGGCTCTTCCGGCTGGAAAATTCAAGAAACGAAAACTTGTCAATATCATTTGCATTCGTGACAAAAAATAAACATTTCGGTTTCGAACGCACACGCAGACGAATAGTAAGCATCGAAAAAATTTCATCAAGAATTCAGAAAAAATTCAGGAATTGTCGGCCCTAGAGCTGCTAACAAAATTATCCTAAAAATATGATACTGGATCTTACCACAAAGAAAATCGACAACACTGCCTGTACATACGAAATAAACTCCAATACAAAATTTTTTTGACGATCACTTGTAAATCTGAATTTTAAAAATATTTGGTCCGTCAGCTTACTTTGGATCGGTCTTGGACACGTTTGCCGACCTCTTTCGATAGTATTGAATGTCCAAAACGTTTTAGCTCAGACATTGATTTGATGGAAATTTATTAATTGCAAAAACATGGACAGTATTAAATGTCAAAGGAAACAAAATGAAACTAAAAATGGTAATGTTTTCATTTGAAAACACTCAAAGCTTTGCAGATCGAAAGATGAGGATTTCAGAGATGCTATTTTTTTAACAAACCTATCTTTTCATCGCTAGAAGATGTTTTTAATTAGAATAGAAAAAAAAGCTATCGAAATCCAAGGGTGGTTTTCCTACGGTTGTCCGTTTCATCACAATCCTTTAATTGCTACTCCAATACTACGGAAATAAAAATATTCGCCTCAGACATAAGGTAAGATAAAGACAGAGTTTCGATACTTACGTTTTCCTCAGACACAAGCATTTTCTTTTTCTTGCCTTTAAACTTTCCCTTTCTAATAAAACAACAAAAACAGGAACATTTATGAAATAAAAGCGATCATTCAGAGTGTGACTCAGTGCTAAAATGAAATCTACACTCGAGTTGATTTTAGTCTTACTTGGTTACAAATTTCACAAACATTGCCTTTCTTCCGTACTAAAACAATCCAATCCGAAGTTCCTACAATCCTCTGACGCCACCAGAGTAAACATTTTAAGCAAGCTCTTGGTTACAGAAGCATTTGGGTTTCCTCTAAAATTATAATTTGCACACATGAATGCCTCGAAGCGAGCAAGAATCAAGCGAATCTGAACGCGTATAATATTTGTCAACACTCGATCGTTATTTTACCTCGCTGTTAATCGTTGTCGAAAAGCCCTCAGTAAACGTGGATCTAAGACATTTTCCTCTGGTTCCCATGTGTTGTACCTAATTGAATTTCAAAGGCAAAACCGTCAACAGCTCAACTAACGCGAAGGAATATTAAGGAATATTAAATTTATGCACGTGAACGACACGATGCTTACTTCTGTGAATATCCTTTCCATTTGATAAAGTACTCGACTTTTCCCTACAAGACAACGATTTGTTAATGGCAAGATTTGACCAAGAAATCGACAGCAATACCAAGAATATTGTCTCTTCGAAATACCTCACGAACTCTTCGCTTCAGGATCGTTTCGGCCGCGTATATACCGTTGTTTTTACCAGGCCGATTCATGTCGCAGTATCCGCTGGGAAGTGATGTTTGTGTTTAAATCGTATAACTTAACTTGCGCATCCCATAATAATCCACGAAAGTGGTGACGTCACTAGCAGCGCACAAGCTTTTGTTACGACGACGATTTTCATAATTTGTCTCGTTTTCATTTAAAAAAAACCCTATTTTTTCGCCTCCAAGTTATTTTCGCGGCCCTTTTATGGAGCTATTTTTAAATAGCACCATTAACGTGCTTACCGACAACAGTCTTTGAGTGTCATTTTGCGGCAGACGGTCGGTGGATCTGCTTTAACGTCTATAAGTGAGGAAATTAAGATTCTTCGATTCGTACACTGTAACTGACATATCAGTTGAAAGAAAATGGCTCAGCTCTAAGTAACATAAAAATTTAATAGGAAGTGAGTTATTTTACTGTACAATGCCAACTTCAAAGAGTATATTAACTCCCCATTTTCAAAATTATTTTCTTCACTTGAGAAAGATATTTCGATCGCTGTTTACTCTCATCTAATTCTTAAGTCAAAAAAAATTTGCATTCCCCAATATGACCGTCAAAAGGAAGAAAAAATGTGGAAGACAGACAGTAAGGCAATTAATCGATAAAGCAATGGGCCGTGAAATAAATCGTGGTAGGATTTGAAAACTCACGAGCAGAGAGAAAATAGGGAGACTAATATTTTCATGATGCTTTGTTCAAAGCTGCTATGTCCTACTTTCTCGGAAAAGTGTTTAACACGCTTCTCTTTAAGAATTGCAAGGGTTTCACCTCTCAGCGGCAAAATAGATGCGAATTTAGCATAAAGGCAAGACGAACTGATGGAAGTGGCGACTATTTATTAAAATTTTCGAAAGTTTCTTTTTTAATCTTACATCACAACAGGTTGACTTAGAAATTTAAGCCCAATTTGTTGGATTTTTGGTTTATTTCTCGCTAATATCAGTGCAGTGAAGGAAAATAAATTCACTACAGCTAAAGTGGTTACACAGATAAGATAGCACGTGTTTATCAGCATCTAAACAATGGAAACGGCATCAAGTGTCTGTAATTTAGTATTCTTCTGGATATTTTTACACGCCCTCAGCATCAGCCCCCCCTTCCCTCTTGCCCCTTGCACCGCGGTCGTACTTTGGAAAAGGAACTACTTCATTTTACTTTATTTAAAGGCTTTTAGCCAAGCAAAAAATCTATTTCATTAAAATGACTAAATTACATTTGATCAAATAACTTCAGTTTTATTAGACCGACCAACATTGAAATTGGATTCATGTAACAAAAATGAAGAGAACATACTTAGATTAATGTCCCTGACACAAAACGGTCAAACTTCTGCGCATGTGCTGACTGATTAAAACGCTTATGTGGTGGTACGACACCTTACTTTTAGGAAATCTCGTTCTTAAAGGTCACACTATCCCCTAATCCCACGCGAGCAGGAAACGTTTGCCGTATGCAAGACCTCAGAGAACGAGATTGGCTTTGGGGCTGTCATCCAACAGGAGTTATATAGAGCCACACAAGCTGGTAAGTCAAAGTGTTTTAAAAGCCCATAACAACTAAGGCTAAACAATACGCCCACAATGCGACGATGTTTGTGTTAAAAAATCTCTAGTTCTTCTCACTTTGCTTTCGTTTCCATTTGCAGATTTCTATGAAAGTTTTACTTCTCTCTGCAAATTTTCGTTTCCCTCTGAGATTTTTGCAGTATGGGTGCGTGGCTGGCCAAAATGTACCCATCTGCGTATGCGTGACGTTTGACTGCGCTGCTTCTGAACTCTGTTGGATCAATCTCGATCTCCAGTTAGTTCAGCCTCGTGTCATCGGTTTGGTCGCTAACGGTAGACTCAAGGCTCCAAAATGCGTTGTCGTGGTCTCGGTGCTGCATGACTCTCTGCCGGCGCTGGGTTTGACCGTGGATGAAGAGAAACATCCAGAAAAAAACTTCATCTTTATTTTCCTCCTGAATCGTCTGTTTAACAGAGCGTAAGTAAACGGGTTGACGGCGGAGTTGAACATGACGGTTATGTAAGAAATTGGCAAATAGTCGTTGTTATAGTCGATGGATGCATAGGTAGTGTATGACACAATGTAAATGGCACCAGATGCGCACCAACATGTGCTAAAGAGAGCACTGACAGTAACCACCATCGAAGTGACCCGCTTTCTCACCCTCATCACAACCTGTCAATAAAGCATAGATTTGGGTTTCATTGATAACATGGATCAATGCACATGTCAAACTCATATCGCCCTCCACTTTGTGTCGATCCAAACAAGAGAAGAAAGGAAAAGGCAAGAAGAAAGCGGATAATTCAGGCTGAGATCTGCTTCATTTCTGGAAGCTATACATGTCATAATGCTAAATACCCCTAGAGTCTCGCTCCTATCATTTTGGCTAACAACATGAAGCAAAGTTTTTCAGACTGCAATTGTTGCAATTACATAACCTACTTACATTTGCCTCGGTCCCATCATTTGGCTTTATTGTTCAGTTGGGAAATACACCAAACTAACATCTGGAAGGCACGCGGGTTCGAATTCCGTCGAAGCCTGAATTTTTTCTTGCAATTAATTGCTCTAATTGCAGCTATCTGCGAAGATCGTTTCTCTACTTGTATATCATCCGCAGGTCAATATATCATTTATTTTACTGTTACCATTTGCTGCTGGGTAAGCTGATCTTTTTCATTGCCCTTGATCCATAGGTTATACACAACTCTAGAGTACAGAGAAGCCATCAACGCAGTGGAAAGAGCCGTCAAAAGAAACCACAACCAGGTCATGGCTTTTGCCATCCACTCTCTTGGGAAATGCTCTGCGCATTCGTTTGCAGTCTCATTAAGGCGGACTGCCAGGAACGATGGGATGTTGAGAAAGGTCGAGAAAATCCAAGAACTGGCAATGATCACCTGTTTGCAAATATGTACACCATAGTTACCTCGTGAAGCTGTATCATAATATCTTCTCTACCATTAATTTCGTTACCTGAGCCTTTTCAGCGAGTGTCGCATTTCGAATGATAGCGTTTAGCTCAAAAGAAAAGCCTTTATAATTGGCACGATTCGAAATACAAAACAGTAGAATTTTATGTACACTTTGTTCTCTATTATACCCTCTACCTCAATATTGAACCTCAAACTGCTCTCAAAAAGCCTGGGTAAATTGCAGTCAAAAACAAAATACTCCAGAGCATCTCATATATTAACCTTTATCCATGAAGTCGTATGCTAATGTTTGAGGGCTCAAAAAGCTTATGTAACAACACAGAAGACGTCATACAATTTGTATAGTGTCCATTGCGTGGGAAGTGGTTCCCCATTCTCTATAGGAAATAGCTTGTCTTGAAAACGCACGACATTATACTGCAAATTACAGCAAGTTTATCAAGTTTTTCAGCAATGCTAAATTGATGTCATTTTCAGTATCACAACAAAACAAATAATCGTGTTTCTCATTGATAAACGAAAAAATTCAACAAAAGGTCATAGGTTGCTTGACCGATCTTCGTTAATCTTCCGAGCTCCACGAGACTTGTAAAAAATTTCTGAAAAACCACGAAAGACAAAAAAAAGGCCTGGTACAGTCTGCTAAAAAGGATGTCTGACACTTCCATCCTTAATTATCCTAAATTTCGAAAGATGTAATCCCATACCTTCAATCTAAACGTGTTCAGTGCTCCTCTGTTGCTGAAGGGATACAACACAGCGTTATGTCGTTCAACGGCGATGGCGACCAGTGTGACAACCGAGGAAGCAGCTCCGAACCATGACAAATTTCCTCCTGTCACAAGTTTGCATAGAACTAAGCCACCTATCCCATCCGGATGCACACCAGCAAACTTGACAAAGAACACTGGTGCCGTAAAAATCGCGTACATCATGTCCGCTACTGCTAGGTTAACGATTAAGTAATTTAGATGGGTCCTGTGGGATTAATATAGCCATAATATTAGAAAAGGAACATTAGGCCAGAACAGAGCAGACAACTCTGTGCAACCATGACATGACTATACCTCATTTCTCGATTTTTCCTTATAATCCAGCAGACAAGAGAATTTCCCACAATATTAACGACGATCAGTACTAGGAGCGCAGACCAAAGCACAATACTCCCTGCTTCGACCATAGCTTAGCGTCAAGTTCAAATGTGCAAAGATCTGTGCAAAAGTATAAGGAAGAGGTGTCAAAACTGATTTCAAGTATAAAGTGATAAAAAAAACAGCTTAAAAAGTATGGTGCATGAAGTAGGAGGAAAATGGGGAAGGATGAATGGTGCAGGATCAAAGATGAAAGATGAGCAATGGAGGAACGATCATCATAAAGTATGATCGATCGATGACGGATGGAGAATGGAGGAAGAAGAAAGACGGAGAAAAGATAAACAGTGCAGGAAGATGAAGTATGAAGCAGGAATAAAAATTAGGAAGGATAAGCGAAACAGGATAAAGAAGAAGGATAATCGAAGGAGGAATGATTGAATTCACATCTGCTAAGATCTTAGACTCATTTACATACCTGTTACAGTTGTCATACAATCGTACAAAATTCACAAAACTGAACCGAGTTCGGGATCAAAGGTAACGAAATTTTACACGAAAGGTGACCAATTTTAAAAATTTTCGATCGGTGTTGTACGAGAAGAAAATGGAACCTGAATTCGCATCTACTGTAATCTTTGACTCACATACAATACAGTTTCGTAAACTGCAACCGTACAAGTGTGCAAAACTGAACCGAAATTTAAATGTTTCAAGTCGGAGAAAACTTCAAGAATAATCTTCGGAAAGGTTTGATTGTAACTATATATAAAATAGCTTGTAAATTCGAAAAGGGTTTATTCTATGAGATGATTTAAACCCCTCCCATATTTCTTAGAACATGAATAATCAGACAACTCAATTCTAAGTGTCACTTTTCAAGTGTGTTTATCAATTCGACTTTTCTGGCAATAGTAAAGCAGCAGAAAATGAAGTTACGTAACCAACAATAAAGAATGAAACTTTCTTTACCTGAGGCTAATGATAAATTAATCCAGAAATCTTTCAGCGTCATAGAGAAAATATCAAAGCAGGTACTTACTTAGAAGGGCAATTTGCCACTGAATGTGTAATGAAAATTGAGTTAAGGGGCTTTTTTTTCTAGTGCTTCACACAGTATTCATCGCAGGTGTTCCATCCAAATATAGGGGGAGTTAACAGTAATAACAATATCAATACTAAGTTACTCTATTCAAGTCAATTTCAATCGAACATATGCATCAAACGTACGATTTCAGAAATCCATTAAATCCCTTTAAATAACTTTGGAAAATGAATGCATGCATCACATCAAAACAACAGCTTACAATGAATAGATCGGTGGTAAGCTTCCTTTTATTGGAGTGATTTCTTGGTCTTAATTAACCTCAGCTAACTTAGATAAATGAAACTTGGCCTCTCATTTTTATTCTACTTTAAAAATTTCCGTACATCTTTCTGTGCCAAAGGAATATCGTTCAATTGGTACCAAGTACATTGTGATGTTCATTTAAATAAACAAGGGCTAGAGTAACTGACTTTTTTTACTTATTTTATTCCGACGGAGTGTTGAGTTGCGCGTCAACATATTTTTCATAATTATCTGTTTATTTTCTTTGAGATTTATTTTTTCGAAATTCCGTGTTTGATCGGTAAAGCAGCTGCGAAAATAAGCACCAAGAAACACATGTAGCGTCTGGATCAGTAAAGTAACTGCGGAAATAAGCATCAAGAAACACATGTAGCGTCTGGATCGGTAAAGTAACTGCGGAAATAAGCATCAAGAAACACATGTAGCATCAGTTCAAAATGCATTTTTACGCTAAACAGTCTCTTCATATTCTGAAAAACAATGGATTTCTCGGCGCTATGCATCGCGTGTGCTATCTATCAAAGCATATACAGAGTGAGCAGCTGGTGAAATGCAAGTTACAATCATCACATGCAGGGAGACAAGCCCTCAGCCTTGATGGCTGCAGTAACAATATTTTCTAAGATGCGGATGTGAAGCCTTGATGCAGTTCGGTTGAGAACCATAGATATTAATACGGCTGATGTGCCCGCTCACGATAAATTTCCCCTCAATAATTTTAACCGATGCCTCAAATTCTCCATTGCCCGGCTTTGTTCGAAATCTAAGTTGGTAGGTGCACTCACTGGGTGTCGACGTAGATTCAAAATTTGCTTTACCAAATCCTAAACCCATCCCGTTCTCAATGCCATTAAAAGTTTGTACTTTAATGCTGGACATTTCCTGCCATGCGCTTATTATGTCATTCACTGATAGTTTCTCGCAAAGATGACCAACTTCCACGAGCAAATTATTTATGTAGTCAGCGGCGCGCATTGCACTTATGCGAACGTGCGCATGACTGGTATTTATAGGCAACCACCGGACACAAGGGCAAAAGTACTCGGGAATCAAAGCATCTTGGCATGTTCGATTTCGAGGGATCGCTGAAAAGAGGCTTGTCCCTCGGGTAAGCTCAGAATTTGATGGGTCGGCAGGGTATTTTAATACGTGCATAAAGGTTGCGTGTAGATCTAAAGGTGAAGTAATAACTTTTGTATTGAGCTTGAGATTCTGCACAAGTTCTGGATACTTTAAACGGAATTTGGAAGGAAGTGTAATGGATAGAAGTGGCAAACGCTCCTCTAGTTTCCCCTGAATTGTGGATCGGAACTCCCCCGTTCTCGCCCCGTGGTCTCCCATGACAACAAAAATCGTGTTATTCAAAAATCCAGATTCACGTATGGCCTGGAAAAATGTAACAAAGTCTTTAGCGGCTGATCCAAGTGGCATGATCGATTCATGATGGCACAAACTGCTCACGAAGGTGAATCCAAACTTAAGCGTCTGGGGATAAGCTCTGAACAGGCTTTTCAGATATTCAAGCTGAATAACGTGCTGCGGTTGTGCATTGATACAGAATGGATGAAGTCCACTGTCAGAGTTGTGCGGTACCGCTGACCAAAAGGGACGCGCGTAGTGATCTGCGGGTTGTTTGTTGAAACCTTTGAGTCTCATATTGAAAGTTGCTGAAAGGCAGAATGTAATATATTGGAATATATTGATAAGAAGAAAGGTTACTTCTATGTTACACAAAGTGTCGAGCGCTGGAAAATGCAATGTACTTCATGACTGTGTGGGAGGGCCGGACAAGCCCGATTAATGTAGATTGGATTTTGTTCGCTCCGGTAGTTCGAGAGTGATTTTTAAGATTTTAAGGTAACTTGATCAAATCCCTCTTAAATCCTCTGTTTACCTCAACAGGAACCAGGAACACTTTTGACTTTTCAAGGAAATCGATTAATCCTTGGTTATTCATTCCAGGCAGACATTTTTTAATCACTCTACCAATCGCCGGAAGTGAGCAATATCTTCACGCCGCAACCTTTTCATGTGAAAAACAAAATCCAATCACAAAAAATTGTGAAAAGATACAAATATGCCTTACCAATTGATGGTGCATCTTCGCTAAACATCGTAGCATATCCATGCTCCTTAAAGGTGTTGAAAATAAATGGCCACTCGTCTAAAGTCTTGGCGCCGTCAAATCCAATCCGTGCTTCATGCAATTTACAGTTCTCCTCCACAGTCTTGCCAGTAAATAGCGCTGTGATTTGGGGTGTGGTCGCCTCTCCCACAAGAGAAAATCCCTCAAATATAAAGGACTGGAGCTCATCACGAAGAAACTTGAACGAATCTGGTAAGAGACGTTGGAAAGTTGCCTGTGATGTCTGATCTAATGCTAGGATTATGACATTGAAAGGTAAACCAGTTTCCTGTAGGGCATTTCGTTGCAAGACCTCTCGTTTCGGGACTACTTGTGCATGAAAATCCTTTTGAATCATTCCGTTGGAGAACTCGGCATTGATTTGTAGAAAGTCGTGTTCTAGTTTCAAAGTTGGGCCTTTGTACTTTAAAAGAGTCGGTTCTCCCAAAGTGAACCCCGAATCAGAGGCGTTTTTTCTGTGGATAGTTTGAACTGAAATACTCCTCAAAGGTGCTCCTGTAAATCAAAAATGTCAGCAACGTTATTTTTAAGAAATAGTCCGCATTTCGATCGAATCTTGGTTAAGTAATCTTAGAGTAATCACAGTAACTATGAAATCAGAAAAAGGAAAAGCATCATGCGCCAAATAAGGCAATAAATAAGGCTATTAATTTAACTGACTTTACTTTTAATCTGATTTGTCTACTTGAAAGGTTTGTGGCACAGTTAAAGACCAATCGATAAATAGAATGAGACGATTCTTGCGTTACCTTGGTTACATTCGATTCTTATTTGAAAATGAAAGTGTGGTTTTCGAGTCTCCTTGTCCTCCCCTTCCCAATGCAATGTAACAACTCGACATTACTTAAGCTTGTATTCATGTCATATCCAACTCTGAAAGAGAAAATGAGTGCTGAGACCCAATTTGAAGGACTAAGGTCATAATGAGATCTTTGGGCGAATTCTTTCTACACAATTTTTCTGATCGAGATTACAGCTATTATATTTTTTGGTTACGATGATCAGGAAAAAACCAAAAACTTCCGATCATTATCATTACCTCTATCGTGACTGTTGACAACCTTCAAATACCCATCCAGGTATCTAGTAAACAACGTTGCTTTAAGCTCACAAGTCATGGGTGCCATTGTAATGAAATAAGACATGGCATTCTTGTCAAAAGGGTTAATATTTGGAATTCTGCAGCCTTGTTCTTCTGTTGAATTGAACGACTGCATCTCAGAGTGACCCAGACCGCACGACAATCCACTCGTAGAGAATTCTGCATATTACGAGAAATAATCCTTTAAATGCTATCATAAGGCATTTCCCTCGCAGGATGCGAAGGAAAAGAAAAGCGGGTCGAATCACTATTTCTTGATGAGCTTTAAGTCCTACAAAGACTAAACAGCGATCAAAAAGTGTTTTTTGCGTCAGACCATGATTTTTATATGACTCGTAATTTTTTTTAGCCTTCATGGAACAGCTGTTTGGTCCTGTTGCATCGTTTCGTAAACTGATGGAATTTTGAGAAGATACGAAGATATGAAAGAAAAACCCATCAGCATGTGTTATACACTTCCGTTGTATGTCACAGAAGTGAAACTGCGACTGGTTATTTTTTTCCTGTCAATTTGGGTTGCTCACCGTATTTTGACGCAGTTGCAGATGTCACTTGTAACTGAGTTATTGGCATTTTTGTGGCAGTTGCATGGCAACTTAAAGATATTTTTAGCGTTGTGAACAAACACAATTATAGTTACATTTTCATTTGTCGCGAACGAGAGACATGGATATATGCTAGCTCCTTAGCGATAGATAACCCAGGCTATGAATGATCATTTGTACTCAAGCTATGCTATTCACCACACTCACCAAGCTTGTTCATAAATGCAGCTTTCACATACAAAGTGGAGTTCCCATCGGAAGAAATGATAATCTTGGAGGTCGTTGGGAAAGAGTAAATAGCTGTGATGTTGTTTAGTTTTGAGATTGCTTGACACTGTTCTCCTACGAGCCTGCAAGATTTTACAGCTTCGAATTCGGATTGGAATACTTGAACATCAACCTCTGTGTTTTTCACTTCAGCTGTTGTATTGTGCAACTGATGGTAAGACAGACAAATGAAACAAATAATGTATTAAAATTCATTGGAGTACCTCTCTATTTCATGGAATTAGACCTGCTGGAAATAGTGTGAGAAGCTGCCAAACGAATTTAATCGGGCTGAACCTTTACCTTCCTCATGCAGTGGCTGTATATGCTTTAGTTATCAAGTTATAGCTATTCATTCCTATCATGCAGATATTCTCCAGAATTAGCGTATCGATAATCAGCTCTTACGACTTGCGTTCCTAAACAGAAACTGATGAACGAGGATTCTTGTCTAGTTTGGTCTCACATAGGAAGTTCAGGACAAGACCACAACGTTTATTTCATCATCTGTCTGTTTCCATCGACATCTCGAAGGTCGTTTTGTTTTCTTTTGGGAGTCAAATAATTCTGGAATCAAGCCAGTCTTTGTTGTTTGCAGTGGGTGACCATTCCTGTCCCTTCCATCATAGAGTCCTCAGCAGTAAAATGACTTACCTCAACATAATCCTTCAGCGTGAATTCAGACAAACCGGCGTGCGCATGATCATGTTCTGCCTGTATTGTCGGGTCATTTGCCTTTAATATACGAGAAAACTTATCTTTAGCGGTGATAACTTTAATTATCTAGCAACTCAACAATCCTTAGAGAACAACATCAAGAATCAGGTCAGCACGAGTATTAAAGAGCATGCATCATGAGAGTCACGGATGCCCTTTGCTTTTGATATGAACTCCAAATGATAGCTCCATGCTCACCTCGCTCACCTTTGGTTTCACTTCCGGTTGGCCTAATAACTTATTGGCTTTCGTGGAATACACCTTCTTCTTTCTACCAACCCGGGAGCCATTTCGCTTCATCGATACTACCATTTTATGCACTGATTTAAAATATTTCATTGTTTGTGACTTTGATATTTTGTGATGAATCGCTTTTTGTCGTTGTCTTTGTTTTCTCAGTCTTTTCCGTCTCCTAACGATAAAATAACGCGCATTTTTAGACGCCTCTTTGAAGAATTGCCGATTGTTCATCAGAATCGTGTTATCTAAGCTCTTTGTTTTCATTAGAAAAGCAACTTGCTGTTTGTTATTTTCGAACTCCTCGTCTTGCCGATATATATCTTTCCATGCACATAGAAGGTTGATGAACGTCAACATCGCCACAGGGATCAAAATAATCGAGCTTCGCTTCTGTAGATGGGCCAGGCATCGCGAGAAACACTTCATGGTATATTTGACAATTTGCTGACCCTAAAATTGAAATGTAAATAAATAAAAAAATCGGTAAAATTAACTGCCATAAAAAATATGCTCTTTTTTCGCCTATGTCCTCCCGAAAATAGTTAAATGAACGAGTAAATTCAATAAATAGATAACTATTTATTAGATAAATAAATTAAAAATTGATAAAAACATGTATGCTTCCGAAGGTCTATGAACGTTCTTCATCACAGGTTTCTTCGTATCTTCGTATGTCATGACTAATAAAGAGAATTAAATCTAAAGAAAGTGATAAGAGAGACTGTTACCGTTTACTACAATGTATGAGACAGAACTACTCT